ACATAGAATTATTATATATATATAAAAATTTTTAGTATTTCTAATTGTATCTACTGCCATAAATGAGAATTGTTGTTTAATTTTTAATTTCTTTTTCTCTTTGGTTAGCTGTTGGACTTTCTACAACAATATTTTTGCTCATCAAAAAAACCATGTTTTATTCCAATAACTTTACCAGGATGACCAAGCTTATCAGAGAAGAATAAAAACACAAAGCATCTAAAGTAAATAAAACAAACCCAAAAAAGTCACAGTTCCCAAACAGTGTTTTATTACCTTAGCATCTTTTATCTCAACAGGCTGCTGGCAACTCAGCAAGTCAGAATTACTGAGGTGGTCATAAGCCATTTTCTTTACCATACTGTGCAAGCCTTCAAATTCCCTGTACACATCTGGGAAGTAAGCTTTGGCTGGATACCCTTTTTCAACCTAGAAATAAGAGGGGAAAAAAAGGGTTTGTTTTCCCCTTCCTATATTTTAAAAAGAGATGAATTTAAAATTTGTCAGTTTGTTTTGCTCAACATTTTAAAAATGGAAACGTTCAAGTCAAAAGACAAGAGAATATTCAAAAATGCCACTGCACCAGGCAGCAAAAAGCAAGATTTTCAATGCAGAGACCCCTACCAGAGTCTTGCCGGTGTCAGGCTGAAGTGATGCGTACAACATCTGCATTCTGCACAATTCCCACTCGGGAAACCCAGATACATCTCTAAATGAGACTTTTTCTGTATATGAATGGAAGTCTCCTTCAAATAATTAACATTTTTACATGAAAACCTCACCTTCATCAGCAGAAACTCGTAGACTGTAACAAGCTTCGTGAGACGTGGGAGAGCCAGCTCCATCAAGTCTTCGTTATTGCACTGCTGGATCAGCTGTCAAAAGTCAGAATGGCTTTGTGAGAGCACAGCAGCCCACGGAGGGGATGCATCCCACATTCAGAACACAAAACCTCACTGCTTTTTTGAGAGATACACGGTGTTTAAGCAGCTTTGAGAACAGATAGAAACACCATCCAATTTATCTCCAAAAGAAGAGATAAATTAGAAAACCTCAAAACAGTTACTACCTACACAGAGACCAAACTTATCTCGTAAATGTTGCCAATTCATAGAAAGAGCAACATCAGGAGATTTAATACCCATAAAGGATCTTCCACAACACACAGGAAACACACAAAAACGGTGTTAGCTGCATGGATTTTCATCCCCATTAATCTCTCCCCCAAGAGCTTCTTTAAGGTTTTTCTTTTTTAATGTTGCCCAACTTCATTTGGGTTTATTTCTTTTAACTGTGCTGAAGGAAATACGTTTTAGTAGCTCGTAACTGTCCTTCTCCAGGGAAAGGATAGCAAGAGTATCTATCTACGTGTCAAAAGTCCCTGCCCAGACCAAGTTCCCACTTTCCCTTTGTCCAGTGCTCTGCTAGAAGTACTTTTTTCCTTAAAAGACAACTTAAAGTTTTCTTCTTAGAAGACATCGTTCATCTTGTCAGTACACAAGGATGTAAAAAAATAAAAACAAAAATAATAATAATAATTAAAAAAATCAATCTTTTTGGAAATGATTCCTTGAAAATAAGTGATCCAAAAAATAATAATTAAAAAAAAAAATTAAAAGAGGGCGAGGGGAAGATACTTGTGAAGTAATTGCAGAAGAGAACCATACCTCTTTTAACCTAGCTTTTCTTCTGAATACATTGTGCTCTGCTGACACACTACTAAGTGACTTTGAAGGGGACTGACCAGGTCTGCTAAGCCTTCCCGAACACCTGGGTCTTCCACCCATCCTTGGCCGACCGCGTCTCTTGGATCGTCTGGGTCTGCCCGGTCCTTTTGGTGCTGCGGGGCCGCGGTGTCCTGAGCTGCTTTCACTCTGTTGTTCTGCCAAGTGTCTGCTTTCTGCAGACTTACAAGTCTTAAAGAAAGAAAAAAAAAGGACTTAATCATCATTTTAAACAGTACGACTTTATAATCAAGTTTTTCGACTTTCAATACTAAAGATATTCAAGAAATGCAAAGCCGGATACAAGCAGAACTGCAAAGAGAGCTGTCAATTCAACACATCAGTAAGACTGCTACTTCTGCACCAAATAGATGCCATTATTTGCAAAGTTAGCATTTTTGAACCGCAAAATGTCACACAAAACACAGACATCAGGGGAATATAATTAAAGAGCTGGTTTGACTGTTAAATATGTTTAATGTTTTTGAATTCAATTATGTCCTCTTCAAATAAAGAGGTTGTAGAAAGAAACCTTAATTAGCAGTAAAATATGCCCAAAGAAAAATTTGGGTTTCATTTTAACGATCTCAGAGCATGAAGATTTTAGATGAAAGGCAAAAACAATAAAAAAGGCAGGAACAGTAACTGCAAAATGAAACTATACTGCCCGGTTTCCATGTTTCAAAACCCAGAGCCTTCCCTAAGAACACAGCTAAGCAGCGGCTTCTGTTACAAAACCACGTGGCAAACTCAAAGTACATTTTCTATTTTTAAGTTATCATTGTGATTTCAGTGCAATTCTTTTTTACTGATCAAAGCAGCGATTTCCTCCTGAACACATCTTGTTTCTTGTCTCCCCTTCCAAGCCAGAATTTAAAAGTGTCTCAGCACTTTTAAAGAGAGGAGTTTACAACAGTACTGAGGTACATCAGGCTCCCTTTCATAATCAGTACATTTTCACCCCAAAGTTCAGTAGCTCCCTATTCCAGTGATTAGGAAAACTCTAAAAATGGCAAATTTATGTCAGTTCTATCCAGGGATTAAGAGACTAAATTAGTTCTAAATATGACATAAGACTAGGTTGAGCGTGGGGATCTTGACTGCCTTCCCGTCCGTGTCCATGAACCAGTTTTAACAATCCTGCTGTTCTTTCTAGAAAGTATTGACCTGGCCAGAACCGTTACCAAACCAATGAGTTAAAGGGGAGATTTGTAGAATCTGCATTTGCCAGCAGCTACAACAGCAATCTAGGAGCCAGCAGTAGTACTATCATAGATCACTTCATATTTCTCATACTAATTTCTCATATTAATTATGGCACTGACTGAAATTTTTCTACATTCCCATCATCCTGGGTAAAACAAGCGCTGCACAGGGAAGCCACAACTACATCATCATGCAAAGAGCAGACTTCAATATTCTGCAATTCTTTTTCCCAAGATGATAAAAGAGTACAGAGGATGGGGAGGTTGGTTTGCTGCTCTGGCGTCTTAAGCTGTAAATTTTCACATTTCTGAGAACAACTTTGTATTTACAAACCAAAGTAATAAATGTCATGCTGCTACATCTAAACAAGTGGTTTTTCCTAGACAGCAGCTGTATCAGCTCTTGCTGCAAGATGTTAGGAGTTATTTTACTATGAAAAATTTACTGAAGTGACCAGCTTAAAACATCACCAAAAAAAACTCCAAAACTTTGCAGCTTTCCAACCCCGAAACTCGAGTTCCCACAAAATGTTTGCTTGGCAGAGGGAGCTAAGCCACCCTTCCAAAAGCTGCTCTAGGAAAAACTGCAGTCCACTGTTGGGATTCCAATAAAGAGGTTTTCCTGCGATGACACCACTTCAGTAACAGAGCGACACAGCAGGCGAGGCCTTGCTGTCCATCGTGCTAAAGGCTGTGACTGAACAACCCATCACTCTCACCCTAATGCACAGAAGAACGCTATTTATGCACACAAGGTTTTTCCAAGCCCCAAACCAGTAATAAATGAACACCCAGTGAACGTTTTGTTGTACGTGCCTGCACAAGGATACTATTGCTACAACACTGCACGAGAAACTAATCTGATTTTTAAAGCATTTTGATGGGAAACTTGTTTGCTATGGGATATCGGTGGGTATTTCTGAGCAGTACAAGACTACACAGCTGCAAAATTGCCCTTCTACTGTCCACAGGACTGACAGCTTTTCCAGCCACCACTTTACCTGTTCTCCAGCCTTCAAATCAACAGTTTCTTCCAGACTGGTAGCTAGTGCATTTTCAGTATTTAAAGTGACAGCAACTGAATCCAAATGGGCTGGGCTCATCATTTCCTCTCTTATTCCACAGGCATTGTCCGCAAATATACTTCCATTAGGCTTATTTGAAGGGATTTTTTGAGGTGGAGACTCCAGCTGTCCGTGGCCCGGGTTAAGTTTATAATGTCTTGCTAACCCCCCTTTTCCTATGTAGGATTTTTCACACGTCTGACATTTAAACATTTTGGGTTTCAGGTTATAATTTGAAGAACTGAATAACGCATCCTTTCCCTTCACCTTTCCCTCTTCGTCGTCTTCTATACTCAGCTCAGAGTAGTCATCAGAATCAGACTGATGACCGTCGGCCAAATCCTCCATTTTAATGAATTTATAATCTTTCGCTTTGTACTTGGGGGGGCGTGAAATCCGTCCAGATCGAGTTTTCACTTTCAAGGATTTTTTTAACTTGTCATCTTTTGGGGTTTTTTCGAGGCATGGCACCAGAGGATTCGCCGAACCCGCTGCAACCACAGCAGCGTTTGGAGACCTCGTAGCCGACGCTGCGGCACGTGAAGCTTTCTGTCCGTTCAGCGTCTTGGACGGGGGAATCTTGTTCACAGACACCGATCCATGCGATGGGAAAGGCCTCTGCATCAGCAGCTGAATTGGAGACTCGGAAGAACTATGCAGGAAGAGCTGCTGCTGCTGCTCAGTTCCTGTAACGGGCTGTATCCTAATTATCTGGGGATTAATAATGCCAAGTCCCGGTATGCTAGAATTTCTACCAACCGACTGACTCAGCGTTATCGTTTTGGACTGGATTGGTGCCAATGCTGGCATTGGCCTTTCAGTTTCCTTCATCTGTCCTGGCTGAACTTGCACACAAATGGCTTCCAGCTGCTTTTGTGGAAAAAAGGAAGAGCTGAGGTTACACAAATACAGTATTTATAAACAAAGACAACACTTATCGAGACGATACACACATGCCCTTAAAGCAAAGCACAAAGACACCAATGCACAGCATTAGCTTTCCATTTTAATGTATCAAAGTGCAGATTTAACATCAAAGCACTGATTCCCTTCCTTCAAGCTATGAATTTTCCTGCACGTTTACTGATGTGACTGCTGTTCAACCAAAGCAGCTGAAGTTCGCTCTCGGGCCATGCTGCAGCTTTGCTTCCTGCTACCAAGCCTGTGCTGGAGCAGCAGAGTCAATGCCAGGCGATTCATCACCTTCAGCAAACCAAACTCAGGAGAACCAGAGTCTGCTAAATGACACAGGGCAAATACCAGATCCAGGACACACTGCAGCGTGCTCAGTTCAAAATAAACTTTGTGGTATGTCTGTGTTACTCTTTATCTCACTCAGTCTCTCCTCCTCATCCTCAGTTCATCTGACAACCCCTGCACCCAAAACGCGGGTTTGAAAGCCCAGGTGCCGTCACCTTCAGGGGGACACGCGTTATCTACCGGTGCACCACGACCATGAACCGGCTCTTCTGGGCTGTCTCAGCAGCACGTGTAGTCAGACGCGAACACTGACCGCAGCATCTACATTCAAACGCGCATTTTTCTAAACCAAGGCAAAAGTTGTGACCCGAGTCTACCCCCAAGGGCAGGTGCGACCGAGGAGGAAGGCAAGAATTTTTAAAAAAACCCAAACAATTTAAAGAATTTCTTTAAACCCCCCAAGCCCTGCCCTCGGCGGTGAATTCCATCCCCAAACGGGCGCCGCAGGCTCCCTCCCCAGCCCCCGCCCTCGCCTACCTTCTGCGGGAGGAGC